CTTTAATAATCCTCTGTAGAGCTTTTTTATCCGCTACAGAGCTGCTCCCATACCATGCAAGAATGCCGTATGTCAGGACACTCTCAGTGGTGCTGTGATAGTAGGACAGGAGTAGACGCTGAGATAAATTTATCTTCCTGATAAGGAAAGGTACCATGGTTTAAGAAGTTCGAACGGGGACTTTTTAAAAAAAAATTATGCCAAAACTCCAAAGAAATAGGATCTCCTTGGAAATAACATTACATCACCAAGCATTCTTTCCTGGATGCATTCTTTGGGTGTCCCATTTAAAGAAAGCTCTCCTAACGTCTTAAATGAGCAATCTGAGGGGTTGGGGACATGAAAACAGTGTTCAAAGGTGCACACACAATATTTCAACAACGGTATTACTTATTCAGGCAACACCCATTAGAACACTCACCTTACAACTAGAACTTGCCATTCAACCCAGTGGTAAAAAGTCGCTTTTCACTGAATTAAAAACTCTTGTTTCTTCTGGGAGTCTGAACCCCAGAAGGCTGACCCTCTCTTCGTTGTACCAGCCCCTTAGCCATTGGAACACTGCTATGTCATCTCTAGTCCTTATTATTATTAAACTAAACATACCTAATTCCAGCAACTGTTCTTCATATGGTTTAGCCTCCAGTCCCCTGCCCATCTTTGTTGCTCTTCGCTGCACTCTTTGAATTTAGTCTGACTTGCTTCAATAGAAGCAAAGGCTTCCATGCATGGGAATTCTGATTTATCACATTTTAGCAATAGGAGCAGCACTTAGACTTGTATACTGCTTCACAGTGCTTTACAGCTCTCTCTAAGCGATTTACAGAGTCAGCCTGTTGTCCCCAACAGTCTTGAGTCCTCATTTTACTTGGAAGGATGGAAGGCTGAGTCAACCTTGTGCTGACCAGGAATTGAATTCCTGGCACTGAGCAGTGAATTAGCCTGCAATACTGCATTCTAACCACTGCACCACCATAGCTCTTTTATAAGGGAACATGACTCAAAATCCCTAGATTATTTCTATGCCCAAAGACTGCTAATTTCAGGCTTAGGCACCCTTTTCAAGTCCACATTCCTTGAAATCTTGCAAAATCATCAAACCTTGGAAGATTTCAGTGATTCAAAGTCAATTCAAGGGCTTGTTCAGACTCCAAATTTCGTTCCTTAAACCTGACGCGCAGCCACCCAACATAACTGCACGCTCTTCACGTATGCACACACAGACACATAGCGTTGCTATACAGCAGGAGTCCCCAACACCGGTCTGTGACCAGTACCGGGCCCCGGCATGCCAGTAACCTATCCAAACAAACAAGCAAAGTCCCATCTGTGAGATGTAGGCAGCACACAAAACCACACACCCTCCGGTCCGCAGAAAAATATCTCTCCACGGAACCGGTCCCTGGTGCTCAAAAGATTGGGAACCTCTGTTATACAGTATTAAAATAATGCCACCCCTGGAAATGCTTACTTTGATCTGGATATTCATTCTGGGCGTCAGGTCCTCAGGAATAATAATTGTGTAACGTTCCTGCCCTGTCAGTCCTAGGCTCTCTGCATCCTGGCCCGGGAGATATTGTAGGGGAATGACTCCCATGCCCACCAGATTACTGCGGTGAATCCTCTCATAGCTCTCTGCAAGGACTGCTTTGATACCCTGAGGAACACACAGATGCGCGTTAATAGTTAAGTTAAAAAAAAAGTTGTAGAAAAGAAGTGGCTAACTTTTTTGGGGGGGAACTATGCAGACAGAAGATCTCAGGTCCATTCTTAACACTTCTAGGTAGGGTTGGGAAAAAGTCAATGGTTGGTGATGCTGTGCTAGATAGATCAGCGGTCTGCCTCAAAGAAGTAACATCTCCATTTCCTGGTCTTAAGACATTTGAGAAGCTTGCCAACCAAAAGCTGCAAAGCAACAAGTCAACTTTCCCTCAAAAGGGCAATCCCATCATAAATATGAACTGAAGGAAGACATGGCAGGCAGAGGCGAGGACCACTGAAAAATCCAAATATATAAATGCACATATATTGTGTATAAATGAAACGGTGTATTTCAGTTTGGAGCTTTAACCTAGAACAGGGGTAGGCAACCTTGGCTCTTTTATGACTCGTGGACTTCAACTCCCATGCTGGCTCAGGAATTCTGGGAGTTGAAATCCACGAGTCATAAAAGAGCCAAGGTTGCCTACCCCTGACCTAGAACTTATGGAAGCTAAATTCATCCGCTGAACCAAAATCTTGAATGTCTCTCGTCAGACTTATTGGGCAAAACATTCCCCTCCTCCTTTCCCAGATGCTGAACAGACCATGAATTGGGGGGGGGGAAACTATTAAAATGCCTAATTTCAGTGGTAATACATTAGCGTGCTTGGGGGCTTAGGGGTGGCCATTTGAAGGACTCAACTTGCAGAAAATCCCCTAATCCTCTTTGCTGCTCTTCGCTGGACTCTTTGAATTTAGTCCGACTTGCTTCAATAGAAGCCAAAGCTTCCGTGCACGGAATCCTGATTTATCACATTTTATAAGGGAATATGACTTAAAACCCCTAGATTATTTCTATACCCAAAGACTGCTAATATTTTCAGGCCTAGGCACCCTTTTCAAGCCACCATTCTTTGAAATCTTGCTAGATCATCAAATCTTGAAAGATTTCAGTGATCTGATCCAAGACAATATACAATCTCACTGGGCTCTGAACAGATACAGTTGGGAGAAACAAATGCAGTATTGCCCTTGGATGTCCTGCTGCTAAATCCCAATGTTTAATTTTGGCATTATGGCCTCTTCAGACATAATGCCTAACTAGGACTAAGTACTTCATAACAAGTAGTACATACAGTTGAAGTTGAACTACTGGCGATGGGGAATATCTGGCTTGGGGACAGTATCTGCACAAAGGATTTAAAACTGAAGTTGAACCTGCTGAACACGAGTCAACAGTACAACAAGGCGGCTAAAAAGGCAAATTTGGGCTGTATCCATCAAGTTTAATTTTCAAAATCAGAGGAATGGATCCACTGTATTGGTCAGAACCCACTTGGAGTGCGAGGACGAATTCTGTCCGCTACTCTTTCAGAAGGATTCAGTCAAAGGGTAAGAGGAGCAAAGAAATGCAATGAGAAGAATTAGGGATGTTGATTAGTTTGGAGAAAAGATAATTGGGGGGGGGAAGA